TTTCCCGCCAAAAATTTTCCCGCCAAAAAAATTCGCCAAAAAAATGCGGAATAACTTTCCCGCAAAAAAAATTTTTTGGCGGGAAAAATTTTTACGGGAAAATTTTACAAGGTATTTTAAAGGTTTTTTACAAGTGTTTTGGCGGGAAAATTGGGAGATCATTTTTCCTGCCAAAAAATATTTTGTATTTTGTGGACCTAATTTTGTTTCAAATAAGGGTAAAATGGTCATTAAAAATTAAAAGAGGGCAAACTTAAAAATGGACTCTCAAAGGGGACATTTTTGAAAAGGGGTATTGAAAAAGGGGCATTTTTAACAATTGGGAGATCATTTTTCTTGGTTTTTAATCACTTGTTTTTCTTTTGCGACATATTTCTTCCGTTTCACAAAAATCGTATCATGTCGAAATTGTTTTTGTTTTATTAAATTATCATATTGTAACTTTTAATGTAGTTTTTTAAAACTAAATTTATTTTACATCTTTATTATTTCAGTTTATGAATTAGAAAAAGAAATTTCCTATATATATATGGGGTTTTTGCAAAAATGCCCCTTTTTTAATGCCCCTTTTTTAATGCCCCTTTTCAAAAATGCCCATTCTTTATAACTTTATAAAAAATGCTCTTAAAAATATAAGATTTACCCAAATATGTATGTAACATTATTAAAACATATACAAACTACATTTTTATGTATCTAAAATCTTATAAATACTTTATAAATACCTTATAAATGCATTTTAAATATCTTTAAAAACCTTTAAAATATCTTGTAAAACCTTTGAAAAACCTTAAAAATCCTTTAAAATAACTTGTAAAACCTTTAAAAACACCTTATAAAACCTTATAAATACTTGGATCGAGTCTTCAAGTAGTAGTTACAATCCATAATTACCTTATAAACCTAATAAAACTTTATAAAAATTTCAGATTTAAAAAGGGGCATTTTTGAAAATGGACATCTAAAAGAGGCATTTTTGAAAAGGGGCACACCAAAAAGGGCATTTTTAACAATTTCCCTATATATATATATATATATATATATATATATATATTTAGAATTCTTAATTTTTATGAAACAAAGAAAATAATCTTTAATGCTATATCACACATATGATGAGAGAAGAAACCGAAATTGAAATTTGACGGTGGTAAACTTCGACAAGATTTAAATGGCTATTAGAACTTAGAAAGTTAGGTTAATGATATTGATTTTGCGATTTAAGTTTTATGAACTTCAACAAAAAGTATTACTATTAAAATAAGGATTATAAATCATAAAACATACTCCCTCCGTTTCAAAATATAAAACGTTTTAGCTAAAATCACACCGATTAAAAAGATTTATTTTTTAAAAGTTCAGCCAATCATAAAAGAGAATACATAATAAAACTAATCATAAAATATTAAAACAATATATAATTTGCATAAAAACTTGAAAACGACTTATATTTTGAAACAAAAAAGTTTCTCCAAAACGCTTTATATTTTGAAACGGAGGGGGTATGTAAAAGTTTTGAGAAACTCCCAAAATTTGTAAGATGAAAATAAATAAAGGAAAAAAGATTGCTAGCTACACAAAGTGTTGACGAATACATAGTCACACATACTAAGTATACTATTGTATCTTTAGCTACACGAAATAGATGTATTGCATGGCCACATGTATAAACTATACGACGTCATATGGTTAACACCATAGACATATAATTCAGGTACACATATCAATTGATTTCGGCGAAAATTGGTGTTGACCGGCGTTGACCAACAAAAATATTCAAAAAACTATTTTTTCTTTATTTTTAATATTAAAAATATATTTGTATTTAGTGTTCTGTAATAAAATAGGAAACACTAATTATATTCAGTATAAAGATATTTTGTATATATATTTTTAATGCATTAATTCTTAGTTAGTTTTTTTCAATTTTTAAACTAAACCAAATGTGTAATAAAAATAACTAATAAATCTTAACTAAAACCAGAAAATCTTATTAGAATCAAATAATTAAGGGAATTGCTTATTTTTATATTGTTAATTAAAAGACATGAACTTCTTATTTGATTTATTTAAATACAAAATAATTCTATTACTTGATATTTTTCAACCACAAAAATTTCTACAATGAAAATCATTAGAATCAAACCCTATACATATGACTTACATTAAGAAATAATATGTAAAACAATTGAGTATATAACTCTTTAGTCTTAATTTTATGCGGTAATTTTTTTTAATTCAAAATTGATAGTATAAAAAGAAACAATTCCCTTTCTTAATTGATTATAATAAAAAAATCCGGTTTTAATTTAAATTTTGTTTTGAAAAAAAAAACTAACTATTATAAGAATTAAAGCATTATATATATATATATAATATCTTTATATTGAATATAATTAGTGTTTTTGATTATACTGCATCAAATAATTTTGTTTTTTGTTTTTTTGTTTTTAATATTACAAATAAATAAAAATTCATTTTTTTTTAAATAACTTTGTTGGTCAACTATGGTCAACGCCGGTATTCCCTGGAGTCAATCGATCGGTGTACCAGAATTTTATGTTTATGGTGTTAACCATATTACGTCGTATAGTTCATACATGTTGTAATGCAATACATCGAATTCGTATAACTAAGAATGCAATAGTATACTTGGCATTTGTCACCATTTATTCTCCCAATTTTTTTCCATAAATAAAAGAAGGGTTTGACTTTTCTCATGAGAGACAGGTGCTGGTGGGTTTTAAGCAGAGAGAGAAGTGTGAGGTCAGATCACAAAGAATGCTAAGCAAACGGTTGGTGAGAGCATTTATATGACAGCCCACTCTCGTCTCGTCATATCACTTTTACTATCCCACACGTGTGACTTGCCACGTGTCACTCTCCCATCGCCTGCATGCCCCATTCCGGCAATCATTGGGCCGCCGTTACGTCCCCCCGCACCCGCACGAGTGCTTCTTTTTCTATATTTTTCTCTTTTCTTATTGATTTTTCTGTTTTAATGTTTTTTTTTTCTATATCTATCTCTACAATATTTTTTAAAGAGACGATTTGGTTAAAGTGAAAAATGGGCAAATAAATGAGGTCAGAGACAATCAATTTGTCTACTTAGGAAGGGCGATATAAAAAAGCAAAAATAGGGTCTGCAAATCTATCTATTTACGGAAAAACCATGAGGCGCGCATATGCAAAAATGTTGATTGTAATAATTGACTTTTTGGGCAAAGCATTTAATGCTTGTCAGGTGAAATGATGCTTGTGCAGCGATAGAACTAACTGGTTGACGTAACATTTTTACAATATATCTCAATTTTGAACTAATATCCAAAATGTCTCTCTAATTTAGCATATGTATAGATGTAAACACATATATAGAACGATATTAACAGTTGTACATAGGTACACATATATATAAAGTGTTATTAACTTTTGTAGATTTGTATGTTACAAACATATACTGCAACCAGATTGTCGAACAGAGCATATAAATACATATATAAAGAGCATTATTAATATTTATATACATATAAATACGTATATAGAGCATTATTAACATTTGTGAAGTAATACATTTATATACAAAATAGATATGTATATTACATGATACATAAGGTGTTATTAACATTTTGTATACATGTAAATACATATATAGAGCATTATTAATATTTGTATAAATGTAAACACATATATAGAACGTTAATAATATATGTACACATGTACCAAGTAAACTGCACATCTTTCATCAATGGCTTCCACTGCTCTCTCTCTCCAGCGCTATCGTAAGAACCTCTTTTCTTCACCGTCAACAAACACCAAGTAACCCAAGATCCCTCCCGTTGGCCAACACACAATCTCTCTTCGGCCTCAAATCTTCTACCGCACACGGCGGCCGCGTCACCGTCATGGCTACCAACAAAATCAAGTTAGATACCATCACCGAAAATGGATTTTCGCCTTTGAATTAACGGCCTTGAATCATCGAATAAACCAAGAATGAAACAAAAATTTTAAAACTATAACAATAATCAAAATGTAAAAGTTAAGATAGATTCACCAACTTCTCGATATTTGATTTGCTATAGAAATCACCGGTGAAAGAATAATGGCAAGAGATGAAATGGGGAACAAATGACCTGCAAAGGTTTTGATGATGAGAGATAATGAAAAGTGTAAAAAAAAATTGGAGCGTGGGGCTAATTTAGTCTGTTTACGGGGCGGAATATTTATATTGTTTGCTCAACTAAATGGATAGTGACAAAACTAATTTAGACTTAAAGTTGTACTTTACACCCAATTATCTCTTTTTTAAATCGGTTTTATATGAAGAAAGTTTTTTTCAGAAATATTTTCAAAGTTTTATACAAATTATATATTAATTTAATATTTATAATTATTTTTATTATATTATAAAATATTTTTCATAATTAGTTAAACTTTTTAAAAGTGGATATTTTTTAATTCCGTGTTTTTAACTAAAACATCTTATATTTTAATACGAAAGGAATAACATTTAGTAAAATCAGTCACACCTTAAAACAAATAATTTAAAGAATACAATATATCAACTCAGGAACTACAATGTAAAAATCTCGTTTTCTTGTTGGAAAAACAAAAACAAAAAAAATTCATTCCTTTTGTTCCTAATAGATTAATATTTTAACATTTTTGATCTAATATAAAAAATTGATATTTTATTAATTTTATTTTCGTTAATTAATATCAAAAATCATTAAAATTCAAGATACAATTAGTAGATTTACTAGATTATTAGTTAATAGTTATTGAAAATATTTAATATAAATATAAAACATTAATCATAAACAATAATTTTTATAATATATATAAAAAGGAAAACTCAAAACATCAATATATTATGAAGAGAGGGAATATTTTGTTAGCATTTTTTATGCCAAGTTGGTTAATGAACCACAATGTAAACACTTAGGCTTTGAATGGGAGACGGAGAAAAAGCAGTTCTTCTGCATATGTGGGTGAAACGTTTTTAATTTGCCATTCAAGTAATTTGAATAAACTATACATTTGGTTCAATTATAATAATAAAATAATAGCAATCAAGTTGCAGACCAAAATTTATGAAGTTTTTTCTTGATCCGCTTACTACAGTAGAACTACCACAATTATGATGGATTTGTGGTGCATCCTCTTTTGTTATTAATTATTTATTATTATTATTTTTGAAAGAAATCCAAAAATATGAAAATATTGAGTTACATAATTTTTAATAACAACACAATGAATAATAAAGGAAAAAAGGATAGTGATTAGAAGATTTTGTCTTACAATAATTAATGAGACATAAGATAGTGATTTTACTTTATAAAGTTATACAAACTAAAAATGTTATATGGGCAAATAAACCTGGAACCAAACCGAACTGACCTTAAATATTTTCAAACCGAACCGAACCTAGAAACGAAATACCCAAACAAATCTTAAATTTAAATTTACATATTTGAACAACCATAACAAAACCGAATCTGAACCAAACTACGAATTGAATAGATACCCGATATATAATTATATACCCAAAATGTTAATTATATATAGATTTGATATAACCCAATTACCCAAAATTACAATTATAAACTCGAAACAAAGTCTATAAATATTTTACATAGAAATTTGAAACAATTACATGTTTTAGAAAATGAAAAAAAAACAATACAATAATTTTATTTTAGTATAATTTATCATGGTATGTATAATATTTAATTTAAAATTAATATTTTTATAATAGAAATATTTCACTCGCATCCTATGATCTATTTTCACCATTCAACGCATATTAAAAGCGTTCGAACCGCTAGATCCGCTTTTGTACCGCTAGATCTGCTAGATCCGCTTTTGTTCTGCTTGATACGCTTGATCCGCTCCGTCCGATACGCTTTCTCCATTCGGAGCCTTAAGGTCTAACTGGTAAATTGTATGAGAGTAAAAGAGTTAGAGTAAATGTACAGTATCAAAAAATGACTAAAAGTGAGAGTAAATAAGAGTAAAAAAATTTATTTTAATAATTGTTTCATCTACTTGAAAGAGGATAAAAAATTACACTATAGAGAGTATTTTAGCGTAAATATTCCCTCCGTTTCATATTAAATGTCGTTTTAACCTTTGAATTTTGTTTTAAAATAAGTATCGTTTTTTGTCCAAAAAAAATTAAAATAATAAATAAGTGTCGCTTTGTTTTTTTCAATGCAGATGTTTGGTAAAATTTCCAGTTTCGTCCCTAATAATTTAAAATATTGACCAATGAAAAATAATAAAATATATGATAATGGGTAAAACATAAAATTTAATTGTTTTCTTAATATGTGTGCAAAAACTTTAAACGACACTTATTATGAAACAGAAGAAGTATGTTTTAAAAAAACGGTTTGCTCTTTTTCACCTAATTAGAGAAAAGCAGAGTAATTAAGCAAAAACTACTTTTTCTTTCTTTCTTAAGTTTATTCTAACATGATTTTTCAATCAGATCTTAAATTTCTTTAGTCAATGAAACGACAAAAAAAAAAATCAAGTTAAAAATATTTTTACACAATAAATATTCAACAAACAAAACAAATTGAAAATTTCAAAATTACAACATATTAAGTTTAATTGGTAAATTTTAACCATCTTATTTATAAACGAATTACCAATGGTAGAAAAAATTTGACCAAGTGCTTTTTGTTTTGTAACTAACACATGTTATTCATTTTGGTAATTAGCACATGTTAAGAAGAAAGTTGTAAAACTAATACAGTTGGTTGCATATAAATCCTTGTAAAGTAAAACGGAATTTAAATAAAATTATTATAGTATTGTTTTCTTATTTGTACAAGAGCAAAAAAAATAACGAGAAAAAGGCATGTGAAATTGGGAGAAAGCTGGTGGACGAGCAACTGCACGTGAACTGCAATAATGCGAACACATGGACGTGCCCAAAGTATTCCCCATTATCATTCTCTTCTATATATTTCCAAATAATTTTAATTATATCGATTATCAATAAGTCGACCCAAAAAAAAAAAAAAGATGTTCAATACTATTTGGTAACACTCAAATTCATTTCATGATGATTAAATTCTATACATACAAGTATTATCCTATCGGTTTTGTAGCTTATTGGTGTGTCACCTCATGAATTTAAAAATTCAACATATATAACGGATGTTATAAATAAATAAATAAAATTATTCTACTGTTATGAATATATATATATATATATATATATATATATATATATATATATATATATATATATGCATATAGTTGACACATTCCTGTATATGATAAATAGTGGAAGGTAGTGGCAAATATAAAAAACGTCACTTTAATATTCCTTAATTTTGCTCAAATTTTTATTTTACAATGGTTACAAGCAGCCCCGGCTCAATATATTTGAGAGCCTTAGGGCAAAAAAAATTTTTTTTGCCTATTATTATATACAAAGAGAAAATTTACTTAATTTTTAAAAATTTTGCGGAGTTTTTATAGTAAAAATTGTTATTTTAAAAATTTTGGGCCTTTTTATACATTTTCTTATAAATAATTAGGCCTCTTAAAATATAATTCTCATATTAATAATATTTTAAAAAAATATTTGGGCCTTTTTATATGTAAATTTTTTTTATAAAAAAAAAAAAAGCCCCGGGCCGTCGCACTTCCGCCCTACCCATCTGAGCCGGGGCTGGTTACAAGTCGCCGACAGAAAAAAAGGTTACAAGTCAATACGGCTTGAAATGATGAAGTCAACGCAGCATAACCATGCATACCTGTATATACAATTATACATACGTATATATCACATGCGTATATTAATACGTACGCATGAATTACAACAACACATGTAGTTATGTAACAATAACATGGAAAAAAAAATTAGTGGTAAAAATTCGAAACTGGTAAAAAAAAAAACTTGGTTTAACGCAACAAAAGTTTTGATAGTAGCTTGGCTACTTTTGCTACGTTGTTTGAGATCGTGCGAGATTGACTTAGGCGGGACGTAGATGTGGGTACTTTTTTCTGGTTATTCAGTTCACATGCATGATTTGAGTTTGGTTCTCAATTTGGATTACAAAATAATAAAAAATAAAACTTCATTACAAATATTTAAATTAATTTGTTATCTTTAAATTATATTGTTATAACCAAATTAATATGTGAAAATATGGAGTGGGATTTTTAATAAAAAAAAATCGGTTAAATTTGGTTAGATTACACTGAATTTGGTCCAATTCAGTTTCTTTTAAGGTTTTGTTATTGTTTTTGGTTTGTTTTTGGAGTAATAATAAATTTCCTTTAATACTCTACTGATTGAACTGCAAACATATTTCGATATGACCCAAACAAACCCAAACAAACAAAACAGATTTCAATATAGTTCTTTGTTCTGGATTAGGTTTTACTTGGTCATAGTTACATGCATCATTTTTTTGATTATTATGAAGATTTTCTTACCGATTAAAAGTTTCGATTTCAAATCTCTTGATTATTAAATTATATATACGATCAGCCAATCATGATTATGATTCTTGTGCTAATCCAGCAAATTAAAAAGAAAGAAGCAAATTATTAACAGGAGTATTGAGAAAAAACGAAAATAAGAAAAGGGAAAGAGTAGTGACCCATGGAGTACGTGAATAATTATCAAAGAGAATAAGAGATGACAACCAAAAGGTTGTGGAATAATGGTCCCTGCCAGCTTTCTCTCACAATCAATATCGACCCTATTTGGATTTTCTGGATATTCGTTAAAATTTGCGATAACGATTGTGAAAAATATTTCATTCGTTAGCTGATCTCAATATTATGTTCCAGGTATTTCATAATATTCTGTTTAAAGCATATTTTTTCTTTCTTTTTGTTTCGTTTCTCTTAACTAGATATTATTACGGCTATATCACAAAAAAATTGTTTGAGACCATTTTGAATAAACTTTTGTTCAAATATTGATATAGAGGACGTTGGAGTCGAACCTTAAATACCTTAAATACGATATTAAAGTGTCACACTTCTGGACTCGGTCAATCTACAGATACAAAGTAACAAACTGAATATAGCTTATGTTAAATCAAGAGAGGTCAACAAATACATAATTCCTAACAGAAAGAAAGAAACAAACTTAAGGGGAAAAAACCCGAAAAAACCGCCATCTATTTTTTTTTGAGAAATTGTTAAAAATACCCCTTTTTCAATATCCCTTTTCAAAAATGCCCCCTTTGAGAGTCCATTTTTAAGTTTGCCCTCTTTTAATTTTTAATGACCATTTTACCCTTATTTGAAACAAAATTAGGTCCACA